TTTAAAAGGAAGACTTTCAGTATTCTATATAATTGTTTGAATAAATACCCATTTTTTTAAATATAAAATATAAAGTATGTTTGATACAATAGTTTCGACTTTGCATAATTAGTCTATAATAATCGTATACATTTTTGTATTGTTACAGTTTAACATATAGTTAGCGATGTACAACTTTGCTGTTGCGACTCTTATCAGTGAGTGACATATTTCTTTTTTTTTTTTATTGTAGTTTTGCTTATATATATTTCTCTCTCTCTCTCTCTCTCTCTTTCTCTCTCTCTCTCTCTCTCTCTCTCTCTCTCTCTCTCTCTCTCTCTCTCTCTCTCTCTCTCTCTCTCTCTCTCTCTCTTCGCGTGTGTACAAATTCTTAAAAATACAATGCTTGACCACAAACAGCGCGCGCGAAGCGCGCGTTCTGTCATGTCTAGTATTTCGAAATTGTAAACCTTCATTTACTCTGAACCTAAAAGAGAAGTGAAGCACATCGCGCTTCGAGAAAATCAATCGGCATCGCGGAGAAGGGCCTTAACTGTTCGATATTAACGACATTCGCGCTGGTAATATCTTTTTATTAGTAAGGGACAAGCGCGCGCGCTTTGCGCACGCCATTTGCTCTCTCTAAAAATTCGCATGGTTTGACAACTGCAAATAACACGACTGAAGTATGTCGTATCGCACAAGCGAGACAGCCAATTAGTATCGCGGAAAAGCGGCAATAATACTTCGAGATATGCGACTAATGCGACTAATCGACTTACATGCCTTTTTTAGAAGTGGATAGATATTCGTGCATGTCATTCTTTTGCTCCGATAACGCGTCACTGCACATATCCGTGAGTAAAAGTTACAATGGCTCGCATAATAGACTGTATTTCCGAAATTTATCATAAAACGTCGGACAACTTTTCCATAACATATCCATAATTTAATCGGAAAACGCAATCGGAAAAATTAACCATCGGACATGCTATTTAATTGATTTATCCGATGAAAAATTATCTGACAATAATACCTACTTACTGGGTAGATAAAACGACATAACTTAATAGATTATGGAGCGACAGTGAATAAAATGGATATTGGACCTAAATATTACGTCAAATAGACGTAATATAATGACGTCGTTATAATGTCATTCGAAAGGCTTAAATACGACGGTCATTTCTTTGTAATTTAGCACGTCATTCGTACGAACGTGACTAGTATTCGACGTCAAATTGGCGTACGTTTGCTACATGGGTAATACGTCTACAAATACCACATAAAATTCCTCAAATGTCACGGTGTCCCACGAGTGAAATTTTACGTTTACTTTACTGAAATGTACGATAAAATTTCACAAACTCTCACAACGTTTCTTCGCAATGCCACGTTGTCCCACGATTACATGATTTTCAGGATAAATTTAAACAGAGAATTCTCTCCGTGTGGTAAACGGGAACAATGAATAATATCAACCCTTTCGTTCCTGAATATAAATTTCTTTGATATTGTGGTACTTATAATATGTACATATTTGTAACACTCAGGCCAAAATTTAATAATAATTATTATTACTTCTTTATTTTGCATTAGTAAACATTTGTTTAAGTTTTATCTGAGTAACAATGGATCAGCTAATAATAGTTAAACTTTTTTTATATTACGGTGTGGGAAGCCCACTTCCGGAGTTTGTCCCCCTTTTTTGGTTACACATTGTATAATATACGTATACCTGTATTGTTATTTATTACTGACAACCTCAAGAGACCAGTATGATTATATCTGTATTGTCTGAATTCAAAACACGTTGAAATTTCGTCGTTTCCTTCGGAATAGGTCGGTCATACTTTAAAGTGGCAAACCTGTTCCCCCCCCACCCTCTACTTCCTCTACCACTCAACGATTTCGTAGGTTCAGCAGTAGCATTAGACAGACAGCCCTAAAATAGTTACTTGTGGATCATCGGAGCTGAGGACGGGACTTGTCGCGTGTAAAGTTAAACTGTGCAATCTCGCGGTCGACTCCGACGATCAGTGGTCATTGTTCAATCGATCGTATCGTTAGTACAAATTGTAGGTAAACGGGAAAAGACCCCGCCTTAATCTAATAGGAATTGGGTTTCTGCGGAACTGTCTTAAAATTTGATATTTGTAGTCCTCGGCATCCTGAACAAATTTCTCCATGGGCACAACCCCCGGAAACCAACTCGTCGCCAGTTACAAGTCGGTAAAGGTCAATAAATAAACCTACACTGAGAAAAATTTTTATCAGACAAACCAATAGTTTATCCGATGGAAAATTTTCTCACTGTACGATTGCTTAGAAACGACGTGGATGTGGCGATAACTGGCTCCTTGTGTGTGTGCGTGTGTGTACACAGTAGAGATAAGTAGAGATAAGAAACCATGGGTCGTTGACTTCCATGGTATTTTGCGACTCGAAATTCCCTCTGTCGTGTGTGTGTGTGGGTTTGTAGGCTGTGTGTGTGTGTCTGTGCGTGCGCGCGCGTGTGCGTGCGTTCATGTGTGTGTATCAACGCTTGCAAACAAAACAAGGCAGATGCCTTCTGTTAGCCATACTTGATCAACCGGCAATTAATCTTGGGAAAAAAATTAATGAATTGTTGTAATCAGAAAATAGTTGATAAAATAGCAAATAATAAATTAATCACGTATACTGAATGAGAAAACTCAAATCTTCCAACAGATAACTCACCCTGTATATCAATGTTCAATATTATAACATACTCTTTTCGAGCAGATTTCTGTGCACCCCTACGGCGCGTGCGAACACACACACACACACACGTTCACACACGCGCACAACAATCCAGTTTGCCGCCACGTCGTTTCTAAGCAATCCCATATAAATAGCCCATTATGTTAGACTTATTTAGTGATTTTTAGCGACTTGTAACGGGCGAAAGGTTGATTTCCGAAAGTTGTGGCCATGGAGACATTTGTTCAGGATGCCGAGGATTACAACATATCAAACTTCAAGACAATTCCACAGAAACCCAATTCCCATAAGATTATAGCGGGGTACTTTGTAATACTGTCAATTAAAAATAAATGTAATTTAACTTAAACTATTTGCACAGGTGCCAGTTCAGACAAGAATTCTTCTCCGGACTGCATTCCGCCTCCTAGCGCTCGCATATATGCACTCTCTTGAGGATAAGTCAAAACTACTCGAAAATAAATGAAATATTACATACCAGTGCTATTTAACTGCAAAATATTGTTCTAGTAACAGACGTTCGTAGCGATTCGTATCAGCGACATCGCTAATGTGAAATACGCTTTACCAATTATTTGCTCGGGAATAAGTGTTTCGGACCTTCAAAAAGTCTTAATTCTCCTAAATTCAAGAAAGTTTTCGAGTAACACACGCCATGAACGTATCAATTTTATTGTCAATCGTAATTGGTATCCTCGCCATCGTTCATTACCTCTTCAGAAATTTTAACTTCTTCAAAAGACAACATGTGATCCACATACCGCCAATGCCAATATTTGGTAGCTTGGCTTCACTTCTACTTCGTCAATCGTCATTCGTCGAGCTCAGTAAGAGCATATACAATTTCAATCGAGACGCAACATACATTGGATTTTATGCCATGACGAAGCCGATACTCATGCTGCGCGACCCGAAGCTTATCAAAGAAGTCGCCGTCAAGAATTTCGACAAATTTCCTACTTCGCCCGTTTTCCTCAATTGTAATGATGACGTTTTCACACGGAATTTACTTGCTCTACAGGACACGAAAAGATGGCGGAATATAAGACATTTACTGAGCCCCTTCTTTTCATCTGCTAAAATGAAAGCTTTATTTACTTTGATGTCGGAATGCGCTGTGGTCTTTACTGAATTAATATCAACAGAGAAGGGAAGCGATATGAATATGAGTACTATGTTCGATAGATATACGAACGATGTAATTGCTCTGTGTTGTTACGGAATGGAGACCAATTCTATGAAAGATCCGACAAACAAGTTCTACATTTTCGGCAAGAGAATTACTCATTTGTCGATAATTGCCTCACTGAAGTTCATTTTCATTAGAACCTTTCCGAGACTCGGACGAATATTCAATATAAAACTTATGGACAATCAGGAGATGAGATATTTTCAGGCCAGTATAAGGAACGAAATCACCACTCGCTATGCCACGAAGATGACACGTCCGGATATGATACAATTGATGATAGATAATAATGAAAGCAGTGCAAAAAGAGTGCAATTGGATATGGACGACATGAGCGCACATGCCTACTCTTTCTATTTCGCTGGCTTTGAAACTAGTTCAGCCGTGATGTCTTTCATAGCTTATAATATTGCGACTAATCCAGACGTGCAGATCAAGCTGCAGCAAGAAATAGATGAAATCCTGAAGGAGTCGAACGGAAACGTAAATTACGAAACCATTAACCAACTCGAATATTTAGACGCGGTGGTAAAGGAAGCACTCAGACGTTTTGCGTCTTCCGTCACAGAAAGAATGTGCAATGAAGATTTTGAATTGCCCCCTGCGTTGCCGGGGGAGAAGCCTTTCATTGTGAAGAAGGGCATGTGGGTTTGGATTCCGATACACGCAATTCATCACGATGAGAAATATTATGACAACCCCGAGGAATTTTGCCCGGAAAGATTTTTAGATAACAAAATTGATACTTCGCTTTATTTTCCATTTGGATTAGGGCCGAAAATGTGCATGGGCTATAGATTCGCCACATTGATGACGAAAATCGTTATATTTCATCTATTAGCTCGATGCGACTTGAAACCCTGCTCGAAAACCAAGTCACTAACGTACAGCAAGAAAATGATACAAATGATGCCGGAGAATGGATTTTGGTTGAATGTTAAGCAGAGAAACAATATTGAATGGGAATCTCAACTGGACCGCGCTTTCTAGATGTTCGGCCATGGCAAAAAATTTATTTAAAAAATAAAAACACATTCGTAAGTATTACATTTATCTTATTAATATTATTAATAAGATTTTTGAAGCTTAGTTGGTTTTTATTCATTTGTCAACAATGCGACAAAATTATATCATTGATGGCATTAGATAATACTATTTTCGTGTTACTCAATTATATGTATAGTATAAACGTTTGATGATATCTTTATTGAAACAAAGACGATGACAAATAAATTCGACCGTTTTATGTGACTCACAGAACAAATAGTAGGAACGTTTTCCGGTCAGGACTGAAACTTGTTGCCTAATTATATTTTTACGGTTCGTTGTATGTACAGTACCGGCCAAAATTATATCATCTTTCAATTTTTTGAGCATAACTAGATTTGAAGTGCACGAATAAAAAATTTCGGCCCGCAGTTCGTGTTGTTGAAGAAAGGACGCGAAACTATTAGGCATCCTGTCCTAATCGTCAATACGGCGATAAAAAAATCTTTTTCTTGTTTCAGATCTGGAGGAATGACAGAACAGCTTGTACTACAGAACTAGTTCACACATATGCTTGTGTGCTATGTAATACGGACGCTTTACAATGCATATATAATTACAAAAACTAGTTTTAATATTTCTTAGGTGAAAAAAATTTTAATTTTGTACTGTAATATCTTTTTTTGCGTTTATTGCGATAAAAATTACCACATTCCTCGATGGTCGAATTGGTGAGACGTTCGTCTAGCGAGAGGAAGAACTGTCCAGTTTAAAATTCTGGCTGAGGTATTATTTGTTGCAATAGACTTAAAATTTTAATTATTTAGACATATATCCTGTTTTGAGTCTTATTTCTTTATTACTTCTTTTTTTTAATTTAGTATGGATTATACTCTAAGATTTGATATAAAATGTAAAACTATAGCGTATTTTTCTATAAGTGTTTCTAAGTTCTATAAGTAAGTATAAATTCTTGTATAGAGTACCGGCCAAAATTGTATTACCTTTCGACTCTTTTGAGCTTTTTGAGTATCAACAGAGAACTAGTTTTAAAGTACACGAATGACAAATTAAAAAATCATGGTGTGTTTTGTAAAATTTTATTACCCTTCGTGTACAAGATGCACCTGTTATCATGTGTCTATAGTAAAATGGTGAGTACGTAACTATATTAAATTGGTTACTAGTTGTCGAAAGAATGTAACTGAGTTAAGTTACAGTTACAGAAGGAGAGAAAGTAACGAAGTTAAGTTAGAGTTACCAAAAAAAAAACTGTAACTGTAACTTCGTTACAAGTAACGAGTTACTTCCCAACCCTGGTTAAAATGATAGATTAAATTTTTTCAAATAAGGCAATTTCATTAACTTTCGAAGGTCTTTCTTTGAAGAAACGAGATCTCATCCGAGAAGGATTTATTCTATCATCGAGTTATTAAATATTTTCTGATTATATTTTCGGATAATGTTATTTTCCGATTATCTCTTTAATTGTATTGAAGTGTGCAATTAATCGATAGATGTTACAATGGTAACAAACTCAGTATCGCTATAAGTCAAAGTGGGAGGTACTATTACCGAGCGTATTGAAAGGGCAGTGCCGTTAGTCTTGGTGAATGATAGTCCCGTGCATCCTCCGCTTGATCAAGTCATTCGCGTTGGACAAGTCGGCAGGAAATTAATCGACTAGGTAGAAACGTTTCTCTCTTAAGGATAACAAGACGAACTTTGCTGTTTTTTTCCCTCCTTTAAGATTTCATTATTACATCCGAGATTTTTTTTCGCTCGTTTCTGATTTATCATGTAATATGCTCACCGTTTTGTTCCGCTCTAGGTAGTGCGAAAATTATAGATGTACGTGAAATAGACACTTATAAGAATAACGCTAATTGTTAGAATTATTATGAAAAAATTGTAAATACAAAGATACGATACGTAACATTTTATGATAATTATTGTAATGTTGTAAAAACGTGTTAGATCACGCCAGAATATGGCACAGAACATGGCTCGCGTAAAAATTGCACACTAGCCCAATATAATAACATAGAAATTATAGCATATCAATTTTTCAATATGTAACATAGTAAGCCATATTCTTCATAAGTTTATTAGTTGTAATGTTATCGTCTGATTAAATATCCTTTAGCATATTGAATGATACTAACTTCATCGTATTATTGTAAGAATATTGTAGGAAGCAAAGGGGAGGCTCTAAATCATAATATGATTGAGACGAGGATTGCCCTAAACCTCGACAGGTATAGAAGCTAATAGCTAAGCTAAATCCTATCCGTTTATTGACTTAGCGGCGGTAGGACATAATCGATAACATCTTCAATTGATTAATCCTATCTATTAGCACGTCGTGGTACTGGTCTGAGATCCTCGAGGTCGTACGAGCCTCTGCAATCGAAACACGGGCGATTTGGTTGGCGAGCGTTGTGCGCAAAGCGATCTAACTTCGAGAAGAAACTTGAATGATTAGGGCACAAGCGCTGCTTCCGGCTTTGAAACCGTTCGTGACCTTCCTCTTCGGTGTTGCTGTCGCTCGCGCGGTGATTAACGACGTGGCAAGAGCGGCTGCTACAGTTTATTGGAAGCGGCCCATCGATGATGTATGCGAGCCTGTTCCGCGAGCATACGGAATCTTGTTCGCTTCGCGAACAGTTGGCAATAAAGCGAGCGGTTATTAACGTCATCATCATCGGAAAGAAATATCACGAGTGGAAAATATACCTGTTAAATTATCACAAACTTTATAGATTGATCTTAGATCTCACCCTTCTTCAAAGAGTGAAATTCAAGAGAAACCTATACAATTTTTAAAAAGTCATTTAATTTATTTAACAGCTTTTATCTGTCTCGAAATTTCCTTTGCATTATATAAATATTATATAAGATCGATACATAATTAGATAAATATTGCATAGGAAAAGACGTCTTTAAAATATCTTTTAAGACATATATGCATATTTAAAAAATGTCTTAAAGACGTTTACGATACCTTTTAGATATATGTATACTGTCTAGGATGTTCTCTTAAAGCGCGAGTATAATAGTCATCAAACGTGATTTCAGGATTTGTGATATATCAAATATTTCTTTTATGAATCTATAAATATTGTCCTTTTTCTGTTAATTTGAAAGTTTATCATAAAACTGATTAGTTAACCGTTAACTATATTATTATTCATTTAGTATTTTATTATTCAATTGTATAATTTTAAATGTGTTACAAGAATTGCTCTAAAGCAACTTAATTAACATCCAATTAGTTTTAAAATTTTTATCATTTTAAAATGATATTTTTATGCAAAATAATTGTTATTCAAACATTTTATTAACATATTAAAAGTTCAACATTTTTAGCATGATACAAGAATTGTGGATAGAAAATCAATGTCTAATATAATAAAATCTGATCCATTCATTTTCCATGACATTAATTCTTTGACAGTTTCTCAAAGAAATACGTTGTTTTGTTTTAAACAAATTTTCATCTCAACATTTTTTACTATATATTTGATTATACATTGTTTAATAGTCTTTTAATGATAAATTTATTCTTGTTGTACCTTATTCTTTAACCTAATTATAATTTAAATTTAATTATACATATATAGTAATCGTTATATCGATTGCAATATTTTTAATAGAAGCTGTGAACTTAATTCAATATCCATATCGGCAAATGCAATTAACTGCGTGCCAATTTTAAATCTACTTGATCAATCAAACAATTAGTTGCCATTTAATTAATGGCTGTTAATTATCGTATTCCATAAGCTCTTCTATCTATATTTAATTTTTGAATGCAAGATTACAAGATTAATATTATGTATACTGGTAGAATCTTGAGCAATTATTTTATTATTTTGCTTTATAATTCTTGTTCCTAATTTTTGAACATCTTTCTGATCGTGAGTAGACGAATCATTCTGACAAAGAATTACGTATAAATACAGAAATATTTAGATCAATACTATTCTATGTGTGTAGAAAATTTTTATTTTTATTTTTATTTGCATTTGCCTATTAAACTATATGTATATATCGCTTAGCATTTCTTACTTTCAAGAATTTGTTAAATACGCGTTTGCAACAAAAAGGATGCACTATATCGCAGTACTTTTCAGGATTCAACTTTAGAGAAGGCTTGAAGAACTTTTATTTTTTATCATTTCTCTTATTTTTTCCTTTTTTAAATATTTATTGTCGACCACCATTGTCGCATGGTTATAATTTTTAATATAATCATATTTAAGCTCATTCGAGACAAAATAAAAAATCAAATATGAAAATATATCAATTTTATAACGCAAATTTACAGAACATTTTTTTTTAACTAGACGAAGTACGTATTTCTTATAGGTTTTTCGATGTTAAAAGTGATGTTCTTGTAAACGAAATTTTACCAGTACGTCAGGTTTCCGAGAAAAAATAAAATATAGCTAAAAAAATGGTTTTCCACATGCCCTTCTTCCATTTTCACAATGCTTCACGCCTTTATAGCACAGAATTGTGAACTTTTCCAAAATGAAGAATTGCCTATAACTTTGAAAATATTAATTTTTCGACGTATTTTTTTTAACACTTTGTACCATCATAATTAAATAATGACATAACCAAATATATACTTCAGTGCCATTAGACATTATTATGTATGATTTAGCATAACATTTTTCGTGAAATATACGAGGTGTATCCCAAGAGTATCCGACCTCTGCATACAGGGTGAGTACAAAGTACCGGACCGGTGAAATATCTCGACAAATATAGGAGATACGGAAAAATGTATATCTTTGTCCTTAGGCATCCTTTGTGAAAAACAGGTATTCAGTATTTAGGGTGGACCTTTAGGACTACCCTCATCAAGCGGCACGACCCAACAGCTATTCAGTCGGCAACGGTAAGTAGGTACGCAGTTGTGTGAGCGTTGAAAATTCCGAGCGTTGCATTTCACAAAATTCGTTCCATGACTGCTTACAGAAGAACAAAAGAATTCTCGAGGTGAAATTGCCGAAGACATCCTGGGATTCATCAACAAAGATCCTGAGTTGCTTGAAAGAGTGCCAAGTTTTTGGCAAAATTTAATACAAATTCTCTGCTCGACTCGTTCAGTCATTGTAAAATGCGACGCTCGGGGTTTTCGACGCTCAACGTGACATTTCGAAGAACTTTGTGAGAGTTTTTGAAATTTTATCATACATTTTGCTAGTAAAATGTGCGGTAAAATTTCAATCGTGGGACAACCTGGCATTTCGAGAAATTTTGTGAGAGTTTTTCGAAACTTTACCATACATTTTAGTAGCAAAATGTATGGTAAAATTTCAAAAAACTCACATGTGTGAAATTTGTAGACGTATTAAGAATGACCAATGCCTTTCCACATGAACCTATGCACATATCGACACATCTTATGATAAATTTCGGAAATACAGTCTATTATGCGAAACAAGGGCTACGTGTAATAAACAACTTCCCGCGCGCCTAGCAATGCCGATCGCGGGACGGCCGCATCTTGAACCGCGAGCTTCAATTGGGCGCATGGGCGTATCCAGAGGGGGGCAGGGGGGGCAGCTGCCCCCCCTAGACTCAATGAGATCCCCATTGAGATTACGAATAATATAATTAATAGATTTGCCGAGGACTCCAGAAAATTAATTTTTATATAA